GGGGCCCCGCGACGAGGCCGCCGCCGGCTCGCGGTCCCTGAGGTGACGGACGGGCCGGCCCGGGGGATGCCAGGCGGCTGAGGCGGCGCCAGCTCCAAGCCGCGTTCATGGCGGTGGCCAGGAAGATAAAAACTTTGCTGACGGTCAACATCCTGGTGTTCGTGGGCATCATCCTCTTCTCGGTGTACTGCCGCCTGCAGGAGCGCTCCGAGGAGCTGGTGCAGATCGTGCGCAGCGCCGACCGCCGGGCGCGCGGCCGGCCTGGCAAGGTGGGCGCCCTGGTGGACCGCGAGGCCATCCTGCAGCGCCTGGACCACCTGGAGGAGGTGGTCTACAACCAGCTGAATGGTGAGCCCCCAGCGCCCGCGCGGGACGGCAGGCCGGGCACCGGGCAGCGGAGGGCTGGGACCATCCCTCGGAGCCACCGGGACCTCGCTGACGAGAGCCACAGGGGCTAAGTGTCCCCTGTGTGACTTTGGGGGCGGGGCGGTCTGGTGGGACGGACAAACAGCCCTGAGAGACTGGGGGCTTGACCCGGCGGACCCTCTGTCCGACCGTTCTAGAGAACACGCCCTCCGCCCTCGCGCGCTTACTCCCAAGTTCTCGCGGGAGAACGAACGTCCGGGGTACAAGGCCTGCCCGACCAGAGGGGGGCGCTCTCCCCGGCTGCGCGCGCAGGGCTTCCCCGAGCACTCCCCTCCCCCCTGGAGAAGCGGGTGGGGACGGCCAGGCTGCCCTTCAGAGGTGCCTGCTCTGTCCTCACGCTGCTGCCAGCAGCCACTCTGGCCCAGCGTCCCCACCCGGACATCGAGCTTGCTCTGGAAAGTTAAAAAGCTTGCCGCGCGGACACCGAGCTTGCTCTGGAAAGTTAAAAAAAAATTGGGCGGGGGAGAAGCCTGAAGCCATGAGCTGTAGACGGTGGGCAGACCCCAGGGAGGACCTAGCCAAGGGTGTGGCAGGAACCCTAGGGCAGGGCAGACCCCACCCCCTAAAGCTCATCCTCACTGAGTGTGGGGGCGTGCATTGCAGCTCAGGCCCTGAGTCGCCAGGGTCACCGCCCTTTTCCACCATGGAGGCCCCAGGCCGAGGACAGGTGGGAGGAGGGAGGGCCGAAGTTTGTGTGTTTGCGTTGTTGGTAGGCTCGCAGCTCCCACCCCTCCTCCGGGCACTGTCAGCACTGGTGGTCTACAGCCCCGCTTGGGGTCCCTGTCCGTCTGGGCGGCAGCCCAGCCTATCAGGGCTCAGCCCCCTCTCCCCTCCACCTGGCACCTGCTTGTCCCGAGCTTCCCTTCCCGGAGTCGCTGACGCCAAGGAGCTGCCCTCCCCGCCCCCTTTCCTCCTGGGCGGCAGCCACGAGGGGCGGCTGCGTCCAGGGTGATCCTCCGGGAGACGGTGTCCCGCAATCGGGCAGCGCTCAGTAGAAGCGCGTTTGCCGGGTGTTACGGGCTGTTTTATGGGCCAACTGGAGGGTTACATAAAACACTGGCAGCGCGCGCTGGGTTGTGTAACACGCCAGCCGCCAGCTCCGCTCTCAGGACGCCTCTCCTGGCCTGGCGGCTGGCAGCAAGGTGAGGGGCGGGTCCCTGACCTACACTCCCTGGGGAGACGGAGTGCAGCCCCCACTTCTGCACCTTCCTCACCCCCTCCCTGCCTGCTCTCTGCCCTGCTTCCTGCCTCTCTGTTTCCTCATTTCTCCCTGGCCAGTTCCCTCCTCTCTCTATCTCTCTCCCTGTCTCCCCGTCTCTGCCTTCTTCCCATGAGGCCATGCCATATCCTCTCTGGCAGAGTGTGCAAATCCTGTAGCCACTGAAGACTGGTTCCTGAGCAGGACAAGAGATTCAGACCTAATGCTTGTCCAGCTTGGTCCCTGGCCAGAGGGGAACCCCAGTGGGGTTGACAACAGTTCACATGGAGGCATCTGAGTCCGGCCAAGTGTGGGCAGATCACTGTGTTGAAAGTGCCTGGGAAAGCAGAGGGAGGCTTCCTGGAGGAGGCAATCTCTGCTCCCCAGTGTCTGCTCCATGTCCTGTTCCTGCCCTAAGACCTGTGTCTGCCTCTATGACATGTGCCTCCCCTGGTAACCTGTGTCTGTCCCATGACTGTCTGCCCCAAGACCTGTACCTCATGACCTCTGCCTGCCCCATGACCTGTGTCTGCCCCAAGACCTGTCTACCCTATGACCTGTGCCTGCCCCATGACCTTCCCCCCCATAGCCTGGCCTTTCATGGATTGCCCCCCTCCCCAAGGGCTTGTGTCTGCCCCTCATGACCTGCCCCCATGGACTGTGCCTGCCCCTCATGACCTGCTCGCCCGTAGACTATGTGTGCCCCATGGCCTGCCCCCCACACCAGGACCTGCTCTAGCTTGGATCTGAAAACCTACAATTGATAGTGAGAGTTTCCACCAAATACCAATTGTGCTGAGTTTAGAAAGGAGAGGAAGAAATCCAAAATTGCATTGATTTGCCGCTTACATTCTCTCTGCCCTGCCCGCCTCCTGGGCACAACCTGCCTGGCTTGAAGGAACTGCTGGGAATGGTGGGGTGCCGTGGGTGGGAGAGGAGCCCCGTCTCAGTCTGCAGCTGGCAAAGGGAGGTAGGTGCGAGGGTTGGGAGTGGGGGCCTGGAGCAGGGCACCCTCCCCATGCGCGACCTTCAGCAGCCCTAGTGGCCTCACTGACCTTATCAAAGAGCCAGTGAGTGAGATGTGAGCTTCCCTCCAGCCAGGGGCCTGACCGAGGGAGTGTGGAGGTCGAGTGGTGGCCGGCACTTCTTGGAAGAAAAGCATTGCTGTCTCATCCTGTGCCGGTGTGAGCGTGGGCTTCAGAATTCAGTGTTCGGGCAAAGGGAAGGCGTTTACAGACTAAGTCAGCCTTCTGCGATCTCTGCAATCACACGTGCTGTTCAGCGTCCTCAGGACCCTCCATTTGAGAACCAAGGAGATGGAAAACAGGTGTCGTGGGTCACCTGGGTCTCCACCCCCTTCAGCCACCACTTCCTCAGCGGGCTGGCTGAGCGGGCCCCTCTCCATCCCCATAGTGGGTGTCGGCACTTGTGGATCTATGAGTGGGCTTCAGAAGTTTGTGGAAATGGAACTGAGAGCTAATGGACTTTCCCACCAGTGCTTGAAGCCTCTGGTATGTTTGCTGTCTCAGCACAGATGTGGTCTCTGGCCACAGACGTAGGTCACCGGCTTGTACCCGGCCCAGCTCATGTTGCTGCTGTTAGGCGCCACCGTGCCCATCAGGACAAAGTAGCCCTGCCGTTGGAAGGCTTTGGGAAGAAGAGTGAGTCACAGGGAAGGGCGTGTGGGGCAGCACTGGTGCCAAGCCAGGCCTGTGTCCTTGAAGAAGCCAGCAGAGTCCACTGGACTCAGAAAGAGGGTGTTTTGCATGGTGTGATTCAGTGGGTTCCAGCGCCGTGTCTGTGACCCACACCAACCACGCTGTCACTCGAGTCCTAGCCGGTCTGTACTCTGGGAAACCTGGTCTGAGCAGATGTGGCCCTAGGGGAGAGGGTAGGAGGGATCGGGGGAAATGGGCTGCTGGGTTGTTGAAGGGGTGTAGTCCTACCAGTGTGGGTTCTTAGGTCTCCAGTCAGGGGGTCTCAGCTCCGTTATTTACTGGCCATCAAGACCCCAGCTAACCCAGAAGGGAAGTCCCAGCAGGAGGCTAGAGAAGAGGGGATGGGAGACATGGCTCGGAGTTCATGACGAGGAGCCTTGGGCCCTCCAAGGGGCAAAGATCAGGGATGACGACGTCTTCTTGTGAGCTGAAAGCAAGGGCACCTGGTTGAGTGATAGGCAGAACCTATAGCTGAGAGGCCAGCTTGGACCCTGCCCCACGGCCATGGTCCCTGGTCTCTTCACCTCATGGCCAGTCTCTCCAGGTTCCTGACCTGACCCTGGACAGTAACGCTGTGAGGACTCAGAGTGACATCCCAGCACAGGGCAGATGCCTGTCCACACGGTGCAGCCCGTGGAGGGTGGTGATGCACAGAGTGTGCTAGGGGTGGGCATGGTAACAGTTAGCCCCCTCCCCCCGACAAGCCATCCAGGTGGACGAAGGGTTCGTTTCCAGACTGGGGTGCCCAGACTCTCTTGACGCAGAAATCGTGATTTGGAGATAGGTCACATCGTCTGCTTGTCGGAGAGTGTGATTTTCCCCAGGAAGCTTCTCCTGGCGACCGGTACGTGTTAATTCTAGAAATGGCCTGGCGCTGCCGCCGCTGGCTCCAGGGGCGTGCCAGCTCGGGGATCATCACTCATCACCCGTCCGTCGCTGGATTTGCTTTATGAGTTACAACGCTCCCACACTGCTAATCAAAACTGCACTGTTACCCGCACTGCCTGGGAAAGCCCTGTGCTTCCTTCAGCCCGATGATGGTGGGTCCGCAAAAACCTTCTCTCCATTGGGTGGCCACATGGACGGAATTGGCTGGCCTTCCCCAGAGTCGCTACACTGCTCACCCCTGTGTCCACTCAGTACCCGTTGGTCCACTGCCATTCCGTCCATTCCGACTCCCAGACCCTCCACAAGGTGTCTGATCTTGTCTTGACATGAGCAGACGGCTCCTCTCTCTCCCACAGAGCTGCTGGTGGGGTTGGACCCGGACCCTGTGGCCAGCAGCCCAGTGCTTGCCATTGGCACCACCCAGCACTTCTTTCCCTGACGACGGAGAGTGCAGCTGCGGGGAGGGCTCGGTCAGTGGCACTGCTGGTGGGTGACAGCCTTTTTGTCTTCCCCCGTGCCCTCGGAGCGGCTGTCTGAGAACAGGAGAGGGTGCTGGTTTTGCCCCACCCTCAGCGCTCCTTCAGGGTGCTCTGCCGCCCCAGCCGGCCTCCCCTGGCTTCTTTGCAGGACCCCTTTAACGGACCACAGCTCTATAAGGTCGTGACTCCGTCCTGGACACCAGATGCCTGGAGAGGCATGTCAAGCAATGATGCTGTACCCTCAATAAGGGACCCCCCATTGGTAGGGTGTGGGGCAGACCTGCCTCTGTCCGCAGAGGAGGGCCTGGTGGGTGGCATTTCTAGGAATAATTCATGGTGGCGGTGACTCCCGGCTCCAGATCTGCAGGGGCCCAGTGATTGCATTTACAATTCAGCTCCACAATCTGCATATTTCAGAAGCTGGGGACTGTTTTCTGAGAGGACATGGGCTCCTTCACCGGCTGGAAACGTGACAAAAATATGTCTCCACAAATTTCCATCTCAGATGTCCCACAGAAGATGCCCCAGGATGAAGGCCAGCCTGTGCAGTGGCGATGTCCTCGCTGGGCTGGCGAGGAGGACTGGACGTGTGGCTGGAGAGGCAGGAGGAGGGAGGCTGGTCTGGCCAGGTGGCCCTGT